GCTGGTGCTGGTGCTGGTGCTGCAGCTGCTGCTGCTGCTGCTGCTGTTGCTGCTGCTGCTGCTGCTTCTGCTGCTGCTGCTGCTCCTGCTGCTGCTGATGCTGGTGCTAGTATTTGGGGTAGGTGGTGGTGTTGTTGTTGATTACGTTGTTGTTGTTGTTGCTGCTGCTGCTGATGTTGATGATGGTGGTGGTGTCTTAGTCGTCCTCGTCGTCGTCGTGGCAGCTGCTGTTGCTGTTGCTGCTGCCGCTACCGTTGCCGCTGCCGTTGCTGTTGCTGTTGTTGCAGCTTGTGTTCTTGTTGTGTTTATTGTTATTGTTGTGTGTTGTCGTCGTTGTTGCTGCTGCTGCTGCTGCTGCTGTTATTGTTGTTGTCGTCCTCATCGTCGTTGTCGTCATCGTGGCTATTGCTGCCGTTGTTGTTGTTGTTGCTGCTGCTGCTGCTGCTGTTGCTGCTGTTGTTGTTGTTGTTGTTGTTGTTTTGCTGCTGTTGTTTGTGTCAGGTTGTTGTTGGTGTTGCTGTCGTCGTTGTCTTCATTGCTGCTGGTTTATGCTGTTGCTGCTGCTGGTGGCTGGTGGTTGGTGCTTGATTTGTGTTGTTCCATTTGGTGGTCTGCGAGTGTCTATTTATATTGGGCTATGTATGATGACCGAAAGCCTGAAATCGAGACTCCATTGTTACATAGCAGACATAGCCGAAAAAAACAGGCGTTGCAATACCTTTGCGGCCTTTCGGCGACCTCTTGCGGCATGCGCTGCGTGTGGCTCGCACCATGACTGCAACCAAGTTCAGGCCTGGGTTTGGGAACGGCGTCACGCCCTCATGGGTACCGCGTTTGTTCCGGGGTTTGTGCGTTGTCAATGTCTGGAGCTCATGGTGTCATTCCAACGGCGTACCAATCATTCAATCTGATCTGCGCCCTGAGCAGCAGGTCTTGACAATCTGAGCAGCATTTACGAAACCCAAGGTGTGCTGCTGATGCCTTCGGGCCATATGCTTTGCATCGGTCCAACAAATTCTGGCCGGAGGCGCGGTTTTGGCTGATGGGTTTCGGGGAGGCTGCAGGACCTTAATTCCATGAGGAGTTTTCGACGGATAGATGCCGAAAGCTCTGTATGTAAAGCAGAAGTAGCCTGGCTAACTTGAAATTCCTTTGGACGGCGTACTGCATGTTGCCACGGTTCGGGAGTTTGCATGGAATCTGTCGTGCACTCCTGGTGCTGTTGTTGGTTCGCCAGCTCGCATTCCCAACTACTCACACGAGGAAAACTTGCTGTCGAATGCGGCTATTGGCGTAATCACATCGCTTGGTCACACGAGTGGGGTCGCCATCGCGTTCAGGTGTGCAAGCATGTTCCGCATACTCGTATGTAGCTCCCGCCTCGCTTTCAACTGTTTCGCGAGACATGTTGCACAAAACTACGCACTTGATAGTCCCTATCTATCTATCTATCTATCTATCTATATATATATATAAGTAGCTGTAATCGGCCCGCTAACTAGTATTCATGCCCATAGCAATGAAGGAGGGCCTGCCAAGCACATGTTGGTCCTGGTATACCCAATGGCCGCAGCATGTTCAAGAGTTGTTGTCTCGAGGCACGGACATGGCTGGAAAATGGTTACGATAGCCGCGGTTCAGAAAATACTTCAGTCGAGACTCTTGTATTTTCACCCAACATGGAAGTCTCCCCGCACTTTAGATGAACATTGCGGCCCTGGGATGAGTATTTCCCGGACCTCAGCAGACTTCAACAGCGCAGTTCCTGAGCTTCAACGCTTTGAGCCGTAAATCCCCTAAAGGCCCTAAACCTGAACCACGACCTCATTCTTCCACGCCGGAGGACAGCCTGCTTAGTCGGAGCCCGGCTGGCAAATGCAGAAGCCACAGACGTGGTGTCGAAGCTGGCGCTGAGGCAGTGCGCAGAAGTCATGCCTTGTTCTATCAGGTCTGAGACCAAACCTAGACGTATTCATAGACAGTTGGGTCGACACATAAAGATAACTTCGTTTACGCGTGTGTATGTTTCCGCCGAAAGTTTCGCTTTCAGGGCCGAACTGGTTTGCAAGGTTTTTGGCCTCAGGCTAATTGTTGAAGATTCGGGGGTTGCTTTCATCAGGTGTTTCGAGGCGTGTTGAACATAATTTCTCGTGGCAGCTGGAGATTGGAAGGTGCTGAATGTCTAACCATCTACCGAACCTACATGTCTCGACGCAGCCACCTGCAAAGATGCTGCAGAGGCCTCCCGCAGATATCGAGGACACGGCCGATCACAGATTCATTTTTCAAGTTATTCAAGCGTAACAGATGGCTTTGTGGCTGCCGCTTGTTTCTGATTGCCGAGAGGAGCTGGCTGTAATTGATAAATCTCTTCTTTGCCAACTGCAGTTCCGGTTTCGGTGGGATTTGAGAAGCCTGCGGTCGCTCCACGTAACACTGAGGGTGTCTAAATGCATTTTCAAATATAGAAGTCTCGAGTCCTAGAAGCTAAACCAAAGTCCCAGCTTGCGGGTAAGCACAGTGCTCCTCCAAGTCCAAGAAGACGGTTTCGGATTCGATCCGCCACACTTTCGATGGACCCCCTGAAGGCTCAATCGTGAAGGCACTTCCGCATGTCTAAAGTCTAAACTGAAACCTGTTCCGAGAGACAAGTCTTCGAGGACATAACCCCCTGTGGCCAGGAAGAGTTCTTCGCGATTCTCCGAAACAGCATGATCCGCCGACATCTTACTTGAACCTCATCAACTAAAGCTTGCCTGAGTGTGCATTGTTCGGAGCTTGTTGCTAATCTGAGACTTGTAGCCTGGCGCTGCCCTTGCTGCAATTGTTGCTGCTGCTGCTGCTGCTACTCCTACTACTACTGCCTCACGTTTACTACTAC